ATAGTTCTTGTGATCTAGTCTGGAGCTCTATCCACATTTTATTTTAGTAGAAAATGCATTTTGAGTTTAAAATGACCAAGGGAAGATCAAACTTTTCTAATGTAATTTTCCCCCTATATGCAGAAAAGCAGAAACAGCATAATAAAGCCTTCACTTTGAAAGTGAACCTCAGTGACATTAAATATTTAGCTCTACAGCCCTGGCAGGTTGGTTGGAGTGTTGTCCCGTGCACCACAAGGTTGCTGGTTCAATTCCTGGTCAGTGCATATACCTAGGTTTTGGTGGGGGCACGTACAGAAAGCAACCAATCTATAGTTTTCTGTCTCTAAAATCAATAAAACATATCCTCAGGTGAGGATTTAAAAAATAATTTTAGCTACAGTGAGCCTTTCAGGATCCTATTGACCATGAATTACTTTCTGGGCTGGACATTATATTAGGTGGAATCATATGAAATTGCTCTTTCTGTGCATTAAAAACAGTTGAATATTGGCAGTTTTCCACAGTTCAACCTTAAAGTCTGAAGTTTTATAGATACACAGAGGCTTCAAGAATTGATGGATTCCTTTCCTCAGAATTCTTCTTACTATATTTAAGATAAAGCTAGCAAAATTAATCTTACATAATTCTAATTCAATTTTGGAAATAATGATATTGGTAAGGACAATGGATAGCTTTATCTTTGTGGTTGGATCCCCCAACAAGTCCTAGGAAAAACTCCCTTATAAGAGGCATATCTCAGTGAAAGACTTATTTTTTCCAGTGACTAGAGCATGCTTCTTCTTAAGCTATTTTGTTTTTATTCCAGAATAAGTGTGTGATTCCAGATAAGCTCATAAATGTTTTAAAATAGAGCTTGCCTGATGTGTGGTATTTTTCCATCTGTGTAGTTACTGGGAAGCATTTACTCATGATATGTCTAAGCGAATTGATTCTCCAGAGATAGAGGTCTCCAGGAATACATTTTTTTGAAATGTATTCCTGGCATTCCCAGCATGTATTTTAAGGCGAGTGATTTGAATGCCTTTTTTTTCCCTTCCACATACTTCTATGACGGGTTTGAGCAACTTACTAACTTTGCTGCCTCCTTACCTCTACTAGATTTTTACTTCTGTTGTATGTTTTTCCCCATGTTCTTTTCTGCCTCTCTTTTTGAGGAATTTGTAAGGTTAGATACTAGCACCTTATGCAATAGTTGCATATCTTTTTCAACTAAGAATATTATGATGCTCAATGAGCCAGTAATTACAGTGTCTTCACGTTTACAAACACACTCAACCATAGAGTCCATGATAATTAAAAATAAGATTTTTAAAGAGTATCCAGTTCTTAAATGATAGGGACAAAAGTGCCCAGTTCTTAAGTAAATACTTTTCTGTTGAATCAGGCAAAAGTATGTTTAAATTGAGCCTCCGTAAGGTAGCCAGGTTTGCAAGGCACTATATCAACTTTCCATAGAATTCCTGTTGTTTTCTCTCATCTTTGACACATGAGGAACAGCTATGTTCCTAGAGCAGCTGCTGCTGTATTCTTGTTGCTTCTCAGAGGTGAATAACATTGAGGGTACTAGTGCTAGATAGTAGGCATGGTTTGTGTTTTCATCTGGGAGGAAAATAATAGGATTTTTGGAGAGTTGAGAGTTGCATGAGTAACAGAATCCAGGATTAACCTTGTTTAGAAAGTCGTTAGAAACACAGAAATTTGTAGCTTTATTGGATCACTTTGATCAGTTGAAGAAAGGTAGTGATGTTTTTATACATCTAATGCATACATTGTAAACTAGCATTTAGTAACACCAAGGTCTTCTGTCTGAGATGAGCAGCTGGTAGGTAGTCTCACACGATTTAGTTTTTCTTCTGTCAATAGTCCTGGAACCCCGTCCCCCACCCTTATGAACATTCCTCTCCTTTAAACAACAGTATTATATACTCCTGTTATTTATGAATGTTGTGATTTATAAATTTTAAAATTACATTTTAGACTTCCTTTTTCTTTTTTCTGGAAGCTGCTTTTCTTTAAAGGTTTAGCTCTATATTTCTCAAATACAGTTATTTATATACCATCTTTGTGAATTTTGTCATGTCTGTGTACCACTTGTACTATTATTTACTTAATACTTATTTTAAATTGATTTTAAATCAATATACCCTCCTTTTAAATTGAGATAGACCCCTGGCTGGGTAGCTCAGTTGGTTGGAGCATCGTCCCAATTGGCCAATGTTACAGGTTCGATCCCCAGTCAGGGCACATACCAAGAATCAACCAGTGAATTCATGAATGAGTGGAACAAATTGATGTCTCTCTCTCTCTCTTTCTCTCCTTCCCTCCCTACCCCTCTCCCTCTCTCTCTCTCTCTTTCTCCCTTTCCCTCTCCCTTCTCCTTCTCTCTCCTCCTCTCTCTTAAGCGAATAAATACAATTTATTTTAAAAAGAGTCAACTAATGAATGCATAACTGGAACAACAAATCAATGTTTCTTTCTTTCCCCACTTCTTCCTCTCTCTAAAATCAATAGAGATTAAAAAAAAATTGAGGGACAATTTATATGCAGTAAAAAATACCCACTTTAATTATACAGTTTGCATTTCATCAGATGTATACAGTGATATAACCACCAGGATAGTGAAGACAGGGAACATTTCCATCTCCCTGAATAGTTCCCTTGTGCCCCTTTTCAGTGGACTCTAGATCGGCTTTCTGATGCTACAGTCTAGCCACCCTTAACCCTTCCTTTCCTTTTTTTAAAAAATAAACTTAGCTTTTATTAAACAGTAATGTCTTAATTCAGAGTTTGAGTTATTATTTTTATCCCTATTCATGTGAAAGTAAATGTAATTTTTGTTGTCACACTTTGTTCTACAATCACTTAAAAAAAATTCTCAGCTTTCAAGCATGCTTTATCAACCTCTTGTATACATTGTCTGGCACTGTAACAGGTACTGTGGATAAGAACTAGAAATAAGAAAGTAGTGGCTGCCCTCCCCCGAAGCTTATGGAGGCATGGCTTTTCGTTTTAAGGAACCAACTAGTAAATATATATTTGTCTTAGAGCACTTCTTGACTTAGAACCTAATATTTTTCTGCAACTAGATAACATATCATATTTTGGATATCCAATTAATACAACAAGCACATGAGTGTTTACAGCATTGAAGGCAAATCATGTTCACATGGAATTCATTCCAAAATTTAACTATAAATGTTTTCCCTCTTTCTTTCCTCCTCCCCACTTCAATTCCTAAATAAGAGTAGAAAGAACAATTTAATTGTAAGCCAGTCCACTGAATGAGTGTGTGTGCTATAGAGAAAGACTCGGATGGGAGAATTGAAGCTGCAATCCCTTCCTGTTCTCTCAGGAGCTGCAGCAATAGGGCACACAGTGAGGAGGTAATGTAAAACCAAATTCAACTTATTGCACACCTCCTCCGAATAAGATACTACTAAGGATCATAGGCAATATGAGAAAAGATAAATTCACCTCCAGACCTAGAGCAGAACAAAACAGCTTCTATAATGATTTATAACCAGCTGACACTAGAGATTCAAGGCAATAAAAATGCTATGGAGATTAAGAAGGGGAAAAAAAGGATGTGTTTGTTTTACTTCTGCACAAATTTTTAAAATTTTGTTTTATTTTTATTTTTTGATGGGAGATAGATGTACACTTGGTACTAAAATCCAAAAGGAACAAAAGCGTGTGGACTGAAAAGCCACCCTCTGACTTCTAGGCCCATCTTCAGTTCTCTTCTCCGGAGGCAGTCATTCTTACCAGCTTGTGTGAGCTTCTAGAGTTTATAGAGAACTTAGAGATTTATGAGTGTCTCAGTTTCCTGTGGCTGCTGTGACAAATTAGCACAAACTGGGTGGCTTAGAGTAATAGAAATGATTGTGTCACAGTTCTGGAGCCCAGAATTTGAAGTCTGCATCACTGGGCTGGATCAAGGTATTGGCAGGGCTGCCGCACTTCCTCAGAGGCTCTAGGGGAGAGTTCCTTCTTTTCTTGTTCCAGTGTATGTTGCCTGCCAGCGCTCCTTCCTTGGTTTGTGGCCCCATCACTCCAGTGTTGAGGCAAGCATCTCTGTATCTCCCTCTGCTCCATTGTTACATAGATGGAGAGTGTGTGTGTGTGTGTGTGTGTGTTTAGTCACCCTCTACTTCTCTCTTATATGGGTACATGTGATTGCATTTAGGGCCCACCTGGATAATTCAGGGTAATCTTGACATCTCAAGAGCCTTAACCTAATCATATCTTCGAAGTTTTGCCATAAAGGGTAACATTTATAAGTTCCAGGGATTAGGTGTAAATAACATTTGAGGGGCCATTTCTCAGCCTACTGCAACAGTAAAATAAATAGCATACTATACAGTTTTCTGAACCTTCTAAGAGTGAAAAACTGGACTAACCCAAGGGCCTATTAATTCAGGACTGGTTAAATGATGGTACATCCATAGAATGGAATAGGTGTCAGCACTAAGAAAAATGAAATAGACATACTGATGTGGAACCATATTCACTATAAAGTTTTTTTAAAAAGCAAGTTGCAGAAGTGCATATAAGTAAGGTAAAAATTTGGAGAGATAAATATCTAACTTAAAGTGGCTTTTCCTGGGGAGAGGAACTGGTGGACTTTTTTGTTGTTAATCCTTATCTGGGGGTATTTTTCCATGGATTTTTTAGAGGGAGTAGAAGGGAGGGGGAGAGAGAGAGAGAAACATCGATGGGGGAGAGACACAGTTGGTTAACGCCCACACTGGGGATTGGAGCCTGCAACCCGGGCATGTGCCCTGACTAGGAATTGAAACCGTGACCTCCTGGTTCACAGGTCGACACAACCGCTGAGCCATGTGGGCTGGGCTGTGCCAGCCAGGCTTTACTGTTGGCATTTTAAAATCCAGCATGTACTTTATAATAAATTCATGTGTTTTGTTTTTCTGGGTGAATTGTGTTGTAGAAGTGATAGGGATCACCAAAGTCAAACCTTTAAAAATCTTGTTTCCTAGATAGCAGATCCTGCATTAGCTGAAATGGGAAAACACTTGAAGGAGGCCATGAAGATGCTGGAGGACAGTCAGAGGTGAGCCTGGAACAGAAGTGACCTTGTTAAACATGTTCAGTCTGTTGTGAAACTGGTGGCACTGGTTTCCTGCTGTTAAAACACCTCTGGGTTTCAGAATGTCACGCTTAGCTTTTGCTGACTTTGAACTTGGTATTTGTTTTGGGTAGAAGATGCTTTGTAATTAAAGGATTTTGAAATTGAGGGGCAGGACTTAAAATTTTCAAGTCTGCCTATTAAGAGTTTAATTTACTAAACATATTGATTTGAAACTATAAATATTTCTTACTGTAAATTAAGGTCATATAAGGCATCAACTAACCAAGAAATGGGTTTCATGTTCTTTTCCTGAAACTCAAATTATACCCCAAAATAGGGACTGGGGCAAAGGATGAACAGGGAGCGAGAGATATGATAAATGTGTTTTAAATTCTACATCAGTTACTAAGAAATAGATATTATAGAGGCCTGGTGCACAAATTTGTGCACCAGTGGGATCCCTTGGCCTGGCCTGTGGGATCGGACTGAAACTGGCTCTCCTAGCAAGCTAACCTACTGGTCGGAGTGCCTGCCCCTTGGTGGTCAGTGTGCGTCATAGCGACTGGCCAAACGACCAGACACTTAACATATTAGGCTTTTAGTATATAGGATCACCACATGCTTGCATGCTCAAATGGTAAAAATTTGATATGATAAAGTGAATAATTTTTAATTTTCCTTTAAATTAGAAGAACAGAGGAGGAAAATGGAAAAAAACTATCAGGGGATATTCCAGGGCCACTCCAAGGGAGGTAGGTGAAAATCAAAATAAGTACCTTTAGTTTGGGCATACATTTTCTTTAAACAAAGATTTTGCCATCATTGATTTACAGTCTTAGTGTTATTGAGTAAAAAGCAAATTTAGAGTTATAAGCAATGTAAGTGGAAAACTGAAATGCCGTTGTCTGGTTGTGATAATGCCAAGCCTGCCTGCTTCTTCCCCTTTCCCATTCAGAATTTAACACAATATCATGAATCAAAAGCAATGCACAAATTTATAATTATGAGTTGAATATCATACTTAGTTTATCTTTGAAACCTGTAATCTGCATGGTACACTGAGCATTATTGTGTGAGATATTTTAATTTGGTAAGATTTATTATTTTTATAATACAGGAAAATGTCAACTTTAACCATTTATTGACAGGACGATTTTTTTTTTTTTACAATGAAAACAAATTTGTCTAGTATTTATGGTTTGAGCTAGCAGGGAAAATGTCAGAAAAATAAGAAGTTATCTAACTAAAATTTTCTCAGAATGTTAGTACTCAGTTTGTAATTAAAATTTCAGCCAAGGTTCCTTCATACAAGCTTTTTTTTATGACCAGGAAACTGCACATATGTAAACATTACAACTCCCTTAAATTGTCCTTTGACCTGAATATAAATATGTATAAGGTTGCAAAAGAGAAGTGAGGAGGAAGGGAAGGACCACAGTGTGCCAATAATGTCACATCTAACACACCCAGATACCAATATTAAAATAGGCACTCCTACTTGTAGCTTGAATGGTGCTGAATTTTTTGTTGTTGAGTTCAGAGAGGAAGGCAGAGGGAGAGAGAGATAGAAACATCAATGATGAGAGAGAATCATGGATCGCTGCCTCCTGCACACCCCCTACTGGGGATTGAGCCTGTAACCTGGGCATGTGCCCTGACGAAGAATTGAACTGGTGATCTCTTATTTCGTGGGTCAGCGCTCAACCACTGAGCTACTTGTGCTGGGCTTGAATGGTGCTGATTTGAAGCCCTCTCAGTGTGCATGTGGCGTCTTCTACAGGTCAGAACAGAAACCAAGTCCTACAAATCTCCTCAGGGAATTAAATTTCCTAAAGGGAATTAAAGGGTTCTACTGATTCCACAGTTTTCCCAGAAGAGATACCACCAAGACCATCTGTAATTCTCAGAATGGGAGGGCATTAAGGCTACGTCAGGCATATTCACACTTAGTGCTAATAGCCAACATCTGAGACAGCACTATGCCAGGCATAGCCTTAAATGCTTTACATATACTGTCTGATTGCATCCTCACAATTTCTTAATGTAAGGACTTAGGGAGTTTCAGTAGCTTGCTCAAGTCCTGTGGCTAGGCACATAGCATAGCATATAATTTGTAATATAAACTTAAGCCATAACTTTTAAGTATATGATTAATTTTATTTTACATTATTGGGACAACGGTAGGAAATTTCTACACTGTGTCCAAGGACCAGGGCCCCTCTGCTGTGAACATCAGCACCTTGGGGAGGATGGGTATTGGGGCATTGTTCTGACAGTGCCGCTTTTTCAGAAGAGAGACCTTTTATTAGTCATACTCTTGTTAATGGAGCAATAATATTTTCACATTACATGTGTTCAATTTGACATTGCTAACTACTTTAGTCATTCACATTCTTCCCAGAAGTTTTTACCACCTCATGTGATGAGCACTTAGTAACTTTTGTTGAATAGAAGTACATCTGTTTACTAGTATACTCTAAGCAGATCTCCAGTTTCCCAATTTGGAGAAGTGGTAAAAATGATGCTTGCATTACATGTTTAAGTCTGTTAGAACAAGCAGACAAGATGTCTAAATGGAGGGAAACTAGACATACCAGTGACATTGGAGTATTCTTGCTGCTTCTGTGACCTTTAGCATCTTATAAGGACTATTTTGGCTCTTATGACATGCTTATTCTCCACGATTCAAATGAACAGGTAGAGAAATATTTCTTAAGCAATATTGGTGAAATTTAAAAATTTCAATCCCAGATTTAAGTAGAAGATTTAATTAATCACAAGTAAGATTGTATTCAAAATTCCAGTTAATAATTTGAGGCTTGTTTTTAAAAGATGTATACTGTATCTCAAATACATTCTTACTCAAAAAAATTTACCAAAGCTATTTGGATAAAAGAATAGAGAGTGGTGGGGGATACGTGCTATTTCCACCTGTCCATCAAGACTTTCTTTATTCTGCAGTGGACAAGATATGGTGAGCATCCTCCAGTTAGTTCAGAATCTGATGCACGGAGATGAAGATGAGGAGCCCCAGAGTGCCCGGTAATGGAGAACGGTTGGCAGCTTCTCTTTGACAGTATTATGTGTTCTTGATTTTGAAAGTGATTGCATTCTTGCAAATTGCTGAAACGATAAACTATGTTTCATTCATATGATATCAAGAGGATGTTCACTTTTTTTCTTTTCAGAGAGAAATTTACATATTTTGCATAATATATTTTGTAAAAGGAAGGCATTTACTAAACCTAAATTCTACAGTTTTTATGGTATCATATCTTTGCGAGGGGCTGGCAAAAGGACCAAAGTACAATTCTGTGCACTTTCCTGCTTCTTATGGCTTCTGCTCCTGCACGTGTGCTTGTGCTTGCCAAGAATTGCTGCAGCTGAATTGATTGGTGGGAGACCATTGCCGTGAATCATCCATTTGCTTTATTTTTATTTTCATCTGTTTAGCTATTCAGTTTCATTTTATCTTTAATTCTTTTAAATTTATTTTTTTGGAATAAGTAATGCTTTTTTCTGGTTCAAATTTCAAAGATAAAAGAGTACACAAAGGCAGTTTTCCTTCTTACCTCATCCTCTCTGTATTGTTCTCCTTAGAGACAGACAATGTTGTATTTCTCAGAGATATTTTTTGCATATCAATACACAAGGAGTTTTCTCCTTTAAGAGATGTTTGGGCCCTAGCTGGTTTGGCTCAGGGGATAGAGCATTGACCTGCGGACTGAAGGGTCCTGGGTTCGATTCCAATCAAGGGCACCTGCTAGGTTGTGGGATCAATCCCCAGTAGGGGTCGTGCAGGAGGCAGCCAATCAATGATTCTCATCATTGATGTTTCTGTCTCTCTCTCCCTCTCCCTTCCTCTTTGAAATCAATAAAAATATATATATATTTTTAAAAGAGCTGTTTGGTTTTACTTTGAATGGATGAACCATATTCTATTTAACTAGTCTCCTTTTTTTTAAAACATATTTTATTGATTTTTTACAGAGAAGAAGGGAGAGGGAATAGAGAGTTAGAAACATTGATGAGAGAGAAACATCGATCAGCTGCCTCCTGCACACCCCCTACTAGGGATGTGCCCGCAACCAAGGTACATGCCCTTAACCGGAATTGAACCCGGGACCTTTCAGTCCCCAGGTCGACGCTCTATCCACCGAGCCAAACCGGTCAGGGCTAACTAGTCTCCTTTTTGTGGTTTACTTTTACAAATATTGCTGTAGCCAATAACTTTGTACCTGTATCATTTCTTAGAGAAGCAAATATTTCTGGAGATTAAAGTTCTAAAGTGGGATCCCTGGGCAAGATAACTTGTGTATTTCTAATTTTAATAGTTATTGCCAAATTTCCTTCCATGGGACCTGTGCCAGTTTACGGTCCCACCAGCACTGTGGGACCCACACCTTTGCCTGTAAGAGTGTTAGATTTAAGGGTTGTTGCCAGTCTGATGGGTGAGAAATGATATTTCAGCATAATTTTAATTTGCATTTCTCTTATTAACCAGGTTAAGTATCTTTTTGCATGTTTTAAAAACCCATTTATATTTCCTTTTCTATCAACTGTATCTTTTGCCCAGTATCCTGTTTGATTTTTTGACTTTTTAAAAATTGACTTACTTTTTATAAGGGCAATTAGTCCATCCATTTAAATTATATATAAAACAATACCTAGTTCCCCTTGAATTTGCTAAATTATTGTTATAAATAGCTAATGAGGAGAATTGATCTTCATGTAATGATTCTTTAAAAACTTGTTTTCTGCACATTTAGCTCTACCCTCCATAGTTCTTATGACCGGTACTTAGTTTAAAAATAATTTTAGGAGGAAATTATTCACAAACAATTTGTATATTTAGTAGATATCCAATAAAAAGAAGGATATTTATCTCCTAGGAATTAGTTTTTAAAATATTTTCCCCCCAGACCAGCTGTGGGCAAACTACGGCCCGTGGGCTGGATCCGGCCCGTTTGAAATGAATAAAACTAAAAAAAAAAAAAAGACCGTACCCTTTTATGTAATGATGTTTACTTTGAATTTATATTAGTTCACACAAACACTCCATCCATGCTTTTGTTCCGGCCCTCCGGTCCAGTTTAAGAACCCATTGTGGCCCTCGAGTCAAAAAGTTTGCCCACCCCTGCCCCAGACTGTCAATACCTTATAGGCATTAAATTTTCTAAATTTATCTGAATTTGTGCCTTCTAGGCCATTAAGTGAATTTTCAGTCTGACAGAAATTTCTGTGGGCCCTTGTGGGTGGCTCAGTTGGTTGGAGCATCATCCCATACCAAAAGGTTGCTGGTTCGATTTCCAGTCAGGGCCTATACCTAGAATGTGTGTTTAATCTGGGAGGCAACCAATCGATGTTTTTCTTTCACATCAATGTTTCTGTCTACCTATCTCTCTCTCTCTCTCTTCCCCCCTTCCCTCTCCCTCTCTCTAAAAATCAATCACACACACACACACACACACACACACACACACACATACACACATACACACATACATACACATACACATATCCATATATCCATCCATCCATCCTTTGGGTGAGGATTAAAAATTGTGTATATATTGCCCAACCGATGTGGCTCAGTGGTTGAACGTCGACTTATGACCTAGGAGGTCACGGTTCGATTCTGGTCAGGGCACATGCCTAGGTTGTGGGCTTGATCCCCGATGTAGGGCTTGTAAGAGGCAACTGATCAGTGATTCTCTCTCATCATTGATGTTTCTATCTCTCTCTCCCTCTCCCTTCCTCTCTAAAATCAACTTAAAAAATATATTCTAGCCCTGACCGGTTTGGCTCAGTGGATAGAGCGTTGGCCTGCGGACTGAGGGGTCCCAGGTTCAATTCCGGTGAAGGGCATGTACCTTGGTTGCGGGCACATCCCCAGTGGGAGGTGTGCAGGAGGCAGCTTATTGATGTTTCTTATCGATGTCTAACTCTCTGTCCCTCTCCCTTCCTCTCTGTAAAAAATCAATAATATATATATATTCTTTCTTTCTAAAAAATGTATGTATATCCTCAGATGAGGTTTTAAAAAGAAAAGAAATTTCTGTGGAATACTGTCTCAAAGTTTTATTTTTTAATATTTTTACTAAGCCTTTTTTTATCTAATGAATTTTGATTAACAGAATCCAGAATATTGGAGAACAAGGTCATATAGCTCTTTTGGGGCATAGTCTAGGAGCTTATATTTCAACTCTGGACAAAGAGAGGCTGAGAAAACTTACAACTAGGATACTTTCGGACACTACCTTATGGCTGTGCAGAATTTTCAGGTAAAGACGTTATGAGTCTTTTGTTTCCGATAAGATATTAACGAGTTGGGTATAGATTGTGACAGATATTGTCTGGAGCTATAGTACCTAGGTTCAAATATGCCTCTTTCCCTTCCTCTTAGAAGGGTTGCTTAACCTCTTCATGCCTCAGTTTCTTCATTTACTAAATGGGGATAGTATTAATATCTATTTTATGTGAGGATTAAATGAGCTAATGAATTAATACACGTAAACAGCTCAGAACATAAGCACATGCATGTTGGATAATGTCAGCAGTTCCTTATTTTTAGAATTGCTAATTGACACATGTCAATAGAAGGTAGAGCAGTGAAACATATTAAAATATTTTTAATCAAAGTAGCCTGTGCTTTAGTAGAAAGGAAATGCTGCCATAAGGAAGATGAGTGTGTGTTTTGAAATTGAAATTTGCTCTATACTGTGGTAATGATGGTCTTATTAAGGAATTATAGCAAGTTACGGATTCCGCAGAAGACATTGGACCAGTAGTATTTTTATGTTATTACTTTTAAGGGAAAGGAATGTTTGCCTAACATTGGAACATTTAACTTGGGAGGCTCACTTTCAGATGTTGGGAAGAGGTTGGCCTGGCTTGAGTATAAGTGTGCTTAACTATATTGCAAAGAAGAAATTTTTTTCCATTATAATAAAAGTATACCTATAATTGAAAGTCTCTCTCCCTTCCTCTCTAGGAGATTAAGAAGAATGAAAGGTCCCATGTAGATAATAGTGAAAGCAAAAGTTAGCCTGACCAGTGTTTTTGACAATTTCATTTACTTTGGATGTTTTAGAGCTAAAACTCTTACAGGAACCATGCCTGCATTACCCAGTGCTAGCTCCTTGTAGAATAAGCCAAAACCATGACGTTCAGCCTTTTTATATTTGAGGAACTTCCTGTTCTCTACTGATTTTCATTGTTGCTGCTTTTTATGGAGTTGGGGCTGGATGAAGGGTCATTGCCTCTGTTCCTTATAACCTCCAACTGTAAGGAGTTGTCAGCCATCTAAAATTAGGGTGATTCCTATCTCCTTAACTGATCTAGGTGACAGTTTCTAGGCTGAGAAAATAATTACTTCCTTGATTACAAAACTGGGATATAAAATCAGAGTTAACCAGAGATAAGAACATATTAATATATGGGTGTCTCTTAACAGGTATGAAAACGGCTGTGCTTATTTCCATGAAGATGAAAGAGAAGGACTTGCAAAGATCTGTAGACTTGCCATTCATTCTCGTTATGAAGACTTTGTGGTGGATGGGTTCAATGTGTTATATAACAAGAAACCTGTCATATATCTTAGTGCTGCTGCTAGGCCTGGCCTGGGCCAGTATCTTTGTAATCAGGTAATGTGGCGTAAGGTGGACGTTTTAAAGATTAGATGTTTCGTTCTGTCCTGGAACTTTTAAAAGTATGTACACGCATTTCTTTAGCTGCTATTCTTTTCAAATGAAAAGAAAGATGGGTTTTTTCTATGCTTGTTTTGTCATTATAAGAAAACATATAATTGTATATTAATGAATTTAGATATGTAATTTTTTAGTTACCCAAAGGCAGTTCATCACAGTCAACATTTTTCTTTCTTTCCAGACTTCAGTCAAAAAGACTTTACATGGTTATATCTGACTTTTTTCACTTAATTGGTGCATATCATGTTTTGCAATTCTTTAAAGTAAAGCTTTTTAAAAAAATATATTTTTATTAACTTCAGAGAAGAAGAGAGAGGGGGAGAGAGATAGAAACATCAGTGATGGGAGAGAATCAGTGATTGGTTGCCTCCTGCATGCCTCCTACTGGGGATCGAGCGTGCAACCAAGGCATGTGCCCTTGACCAGAATCAAACCCAGGACTCTTAAGTCCTTAGGCTGACACTCTATCCACTGAGCCAAACTAGCTAGGGCAAGTAAAGCTTATTTTTAATGTCTTCATAATATATAGTAGTGAGTGTATAGTAGTATTTTAACTGCTTCCTTTTTGGACAATTAGAGTGTTTGCATTCTTCTGCTTTCTATGACCATTTCTGTGACCAGTGCTATTATGCATAGTGCTATTATGGACATCTTTGTGCATAAAGCTTTGTCTATATTTAGGGATATATTTCTCAGATAGACTTTCAGAATTGATCTAGAATTACTAGATCAAAGGGCATTATTACCGTTCTTAATCCTACCAGACCTGAGGCCCTGAACCTAACTGTCCCCTATACCTGGGCTCCTGAGCATTAAAGAGAAAAAACCAACATGATATAGAAAAAACCACATGATGCAAACAAGTGGTTAGAATAAGATGGAACTTGGGAGACATTGTAGAAAATAGGTCTACCTTTCATCTACCTTTCATCTAGCGCCAATATTCCACCTTTGTGTGGAAATTACCAAAAAATCGGTACAGCGGTCTGGTAGGGTTAAAGTGCATAGTGCACGTAGTCCAATTAGAGGGCTACCTTGAGAAAAGAAATGAAATCTCTTGGCCAAAAATGTTTTAAGGCAAACCCCTTAGGATTGGAGGGTTTGTCTTTTTTAAGGTGAAGGAGCCCTGGGGAGATAGATGAGGAAATTCAAGGACTTAGTTGATTTAGAGCTGTGGTCACTAGTGGCAAGAAATCATGTCCTCTTCTTGAGTGTGTAAAAAAATGGGGAGTTTTGTAATATCCCTATAGAAACATGAAATAAATTGCTTATTGAGTACTACTGTAGGCTAGGCTCTCATGGACCTGAGGCTGTCTTGGGACAGCAGTCCTATCTTCAAAAGATGTGTGACAGTATTCTGTTAAGTGAGGAAGGCAGTGGCAGAGCAGTATTAATGCGTTCATGTTCTAAAAAGTGTTTACATGCTTATATGAGTGTTTTTATAACTAGAAAAATATATAACTATATCTAGAAAATGTCTGGAAGGTTACATTCTAACCTGTTAACTGGAGGTTGGTACTTTATATGGGGCATTTTCACTTTTAATTTCTCTTTCTTTATTTTCATTGTGTGTTTTATTTGGGTTTCATTTTCATAATTTAAAAGATAAATCCTTTAAAGCAGCGGTTCTCAACCTGTGGGTCGCGACCCTTTTGGGGGTCGAACGACCCTTTCACAGGGGTCGCCTAAATACATCCTGCATTATGATTCATAACAGTAGCAAAATTACAGTTATGAAGTAGTAGCGAAAATAATTTTATGGTTGGGGGTCACCATGACATGAGGAACTATATTAAAGGGTCACGGCATTAGGAAGGTTGAGAACCACTGCTTTAAGGGGAATGAGTGTGGATAAAGTGCTTGTTAAATTTTTGGTCTTTAATTAATTAATTTATTTATTTATTTATTTATCGTTAATCCTCACCCGAGGATATTTTTCCATTGATCTTTTTAGAGAGAGTAGAAGAGAGAGGGAAAGACAGAGAGAAACATCGATGTGAGAGAAACATATCGATTGGTTGCCTCCTGCACGTGCCCTGACCACGGTCCGGGCCGAGGAGGAGCCTGCACCTGAGGTACGTGCCCTTGACTGGAACCAGGGACCCTTTCGTCCCTAGGCTGACCCTCTAGCCACTGGACCAAACTGGCTAGGGCAAATTTTTGGTCTTTAAATTCTACCAAGTTTAGTTATATAGAACAATAGACTGCAACTGTTTAAAAATTTCTAAAACTATAAACTCCTCAAGGATTTGAAAGCTAGGTGGGAAAAAAGGATTTGGAAGCTAAAAGTGACAATTGCTATCTTTATAACACTGACTTCATTTCTCTGCAAGTCTGTGTTATTGATTTTTAGGAGTGGATGGACCCATAAATAAAGTGTTCTTTGAATGCCTTTAACTGGTGCTACTAATGTTTGGAGGAAGGACCCTAAAATTATGCCCCCAGATGCTCAGGGTTCAATTGTTTCCAGTTTGTAAGTGTTTTGTTTTTTGGTATATAGAATTTAGAAAATTTTACATTGTCTCTGGCCTCTTATAAGACATCACAACTCCTGGAAATTCACCCTCTTTTTGGCTTAACTTTCTAGATGTACTTTAATATCCATATATAATAAAGGTTCCTAAGGACAGAGATTGTTTAAAAAGAATAATTATGACTTGTCTTGGAGCCACAATCTTTTTTTTAATATATATTTTTATTGATTTCAGAAAGGAAGGGAAAAGAAGAGAGAGAGAAACATTAATGATAAGAGAAAATCACTGATAGGCTGCCTCCTGCATGTCCCCCATTGGGGATTGAGTTCACAGCCTGGGAATGTGCCTTGATCAAGAATTGAACCATGACCTCCCAGTTCGTAGGCCGATGCTCAACCACTGAGCCACACAGGCTGGGTGGAGTTAGAATCCTTTAAGGGCATAAGTGAATGGTGACAAAGAGTTTTCTTGTAAAACTGTATGTTTCTTCTTACAGCTTGGCTTACCCTTCCCCTGCTTATCTCGTGTGCCCTGTAACACTATGTTTGGATCCCAGCATCAGATGGTGAGTTCTCCTTTTGGTTTGTAAAATAATATGGAATTGTGTTTTGAAACTGTGTCTTTCTTTTAACTGAAGTTTTGTTTGCTGGCCTCCAGATAATTTTTAGCTTATTCATTTATTGCTTTGATCATCCCATTGCATACTGAAGCCAGAGCAAAAGGGATAGGTTTTGGATTTCTGCATTTCTTTTTTCAAGATAGTTTGATTTTCTATACATTAATTCAGATGCATTAGAGATAATATTAGAGATACATTTTTTATTGGTTTTGGGGGGTTGAGAGAACATTTTCTTTAAACATACATGTTTAAAACTAGAAAATGTTGGCTATATATATGCAATTTTTAACTTTAATAACATTTAACTGATTTTTCTAGTTTGTCTTCAGGAAAAGTATTTGATTTTCACATCTATGATTATAGAAACTAGAAAAATTGTCAAAATTGATTAATTTTGAGAGTCAGGTACTTCTTTTGGAAGTTGTAATTTCTCACTGAATAACTTTTATGCTGGTTGCCTCATGTTTTTATGATTTATCTTTTAATCCCAGGATGTTGCCCTCCTGGAAAAACTGATTAAAGATGATATTGAACGAGGAAAACTGCCCCTGTTGCTTGTGGCAAATGCTGGTAGGTAGCATGAACGTGAATCTTATATTTTGAAAATAGAAGAGAGAGGCTAAGTACTTAGCCTAAAAAAGACCAAGTCTTAAGAAATGTTTGTGTGCCACATGTTTAAGATAGTCTGTATGAGCATGTGGTAAGAATTATAATAGTGAAGTTGGCTCATTTAATTCCCTTTAATTGTTGGTTTGTTATAGGAGCTATTTTTGTGTGTATACTTTTTCATTAAGGTTGTAAGTACTTCTTTACTCCTTCCTTCCTGTGCTTCTTTCCTAAGTTGAATTTTGAAATGTCATACTTAAATGTGCATCTTGTAGACAGCAACTGCTCTGCTTACCGTATTGTGTTTAACGTTATACTTGAAGTCCTAGACCAGTGGTTGCCAACTGGTGGTCCATGAGGTCCTAAAGGTTGGCGACCGCTGTTCTAGACAGTCTAATAGGTAAGAAAAATAATTAAATAACATAGAGATTGAAAAGAAGAATCACATGTCTTTACTTGCAAATGGCATGATTGTACAGGTAGAAAGTTGTAAGGAAATCAAAGAAAAGCCATTGGAACTAATCGAATCTATTAAGGTTGCAGAATTTTGTATGCTAATGATGAACAATTGAAATTAAAATGTCATTCATTATAGCATCAAAAAAATGAGAACTTCATGGATAAGTTTAAGAAATAAATGCAAGATGTGTACACTGAAAACTACAAAACGTTGCTGAGAGAAATTCAAGAAGACCCAAATGAATGGAATTATATGTCATGTGCATGATTGGAAGACTCAACATTATTAAGTTAGATCTCACCAAATTTATCTATAGATTCAGCTTAATCCATATCAAAGCCTCAGCACAGTTTGTAGAAATTGGTGAATCTTATTGAAATTGATAAGCTGATTCTAAAATTTATATGAACATATAGGGATCTAAGAATAGCCAAAATAATTTTGAAAAGAACAAAATTGGAAGACTTACCCTATCTGACTTTTAGACTTACTATAAGCTACCCCTAATAAAGAGAGAGTGATTAATTGAAGAGAATAGTCTCACATGTATATGATCCCTTGATTGTTTTTATAAAGATGCCAAGGTTATTCAAGGGAGAAAGGATAGTCTTTTCCACCAGTGATTTTGGAACAATTGGATATCCATGTGGAGAAAAGATTGAACCTCAATCCTTACCTCACTCTGTATACAAAAATTAATTATAAATGGTTCCTAGACCTAGACATATGAGCCACAACACTAAAACTTCTTGAGGAAAATATAGAAGATCTTTGTGATCTTGTATTAGGCAAAGATATCTTAGGACACAAAAGGCATGAACCATAAATTGGACTTTTTCACAGATTAAAGGCTTATGCTGCTCAAGATACCCTACCTGTTAAGAAAATGAAAGGCAAGTTACAGACTTGGGAGAAATATTTGCAAAACATTTTTTTGACCAAGGACTTTATCAAAATACATAAAGAAGTTTTACCATTTAGTATTAGGGAGACAAATAATATTTTTTAAATGAACAAGAGATTTGAATAGACACTTCACCAAAGAAAATATATGAATGTATAATCACTTAAAAGATACTTAACATCATTAGTTATTAGTGAAATGCAAATTAAAACCACAATGAGCTACTATTACATATTTGCTAGAATGGAGAGAAAGAAAGAAAAAAAACAGTGCCAAATGCTGGTGAGAATACAAAGCACCCGGAACTCATACACGGCTAGTAGGGAGCAAATAATGTTACAGCTCCTCTGGAAAACCGTTTGGCAGTTCCTCAAAAGATTAAACATAAAATTAGCATATGATCCATTAGTCCCACTTGTAGGTATTTTTTCAAAGAGAAAAGAACACCTATGTCCACACAAAGAATTGTATGCAATACTCATAACTGGAAACAAACCAGATGTCCTTTACCTCGTGAATGGATAACAAGTTGTATCCATCTTGTGGGCTGCTAAGCACTATGTAGGAATAGTACTAATATACACAACAGGGATGAATTTCAAAAGCATGCTAACTACAAAAGGCCAGACAGAAGTTACATAGCATATGATTGATATGAAATTCTAAAAAAAGGACAAAAGTACAGTGACAGAAAACAGATCAGGACTGTGGCCAGTGGGGAGCAAAGAAAAGAGTGACACCTCAGGAGTGAGGGGGTGTGGAAGGAGCTTTGGGGGTGATGGAAATATTCTCTACCTTGATTGTGTTGGTGGTTACACACTGGATACATTTGGCAAAATTCATTGAACCGTACACTTAAATGAATGGATTTTTTTGCATGCAAGTTACACTTCAATCAGTAAAGCTAATTAGAGTTGCCCCTTGGCTATAGGGGATAGGGTAAAGGCCCCAGCTCCCCTTGGACACCAGAATCCACAGGTGCTCAAGTCCCTGTATAAAGTCATATAACATACAGGCTGCAGCAGGATATGCCTCCATATCACTTCATTTGTGTGCATTTAGCACAGTGCTTAGTGTGTGGCAGATTCAACTTTTGCTTTTGGAACTTTCTGGGATTTTTTTTCCAAATATTTTAAAGTCACGGTTGATTGAATCTGTGGGTGAGGACACAGACAGCCAACTGTATTTAAAAAATAATAATAAGCCCTAACTGGTTTGGGTCAGCAGATAGAGCGGCGGCCTGTGGACTGAAGGGTCCTAGGTTCAATTCCAGTCAAGGGCATGTACCTTGGTTGTGGGCATATCCCCAGTAAGGAGTGTGCAGGAGGCAGCTGATCGATGTTTCTCCCTCATTGATGTTTCTAACTCTCTATCCCTCTCCCTTCCTCTCTGTTAAAAATAAATAAAATATATATTTTTTAAAAATAATAATCAGAAAAATGCATATCTGCCTTATTGTTAGTAGGAAAACCACCACTTCCTGCCTGATTTAGCATGTCATATCTTTAAAAAGAAACAAACCTGCCCATATTCAATCATTTGATAGATGGGAGAGGCTACAGTTGACACATGTCTGAGTGACTTACCAGTATGATTACACATTGCAGGGGTGAGCCAGCCGACACTGCCAGAAAACTTGAAAAGAGAATCTGAATGTGGTCAAGTCACTAAAACAGCACTGTGCTTTATGTTTCAATGGGTCATGGGACACAGGCCATGCATTAGCCTTTGTTCTTGTTTCAACTAAACAAATATGTCAAGATTTTTTTAAAAATTGAGAGTCCTG